ATATATATATATATATATATATATATATATATATATATAACTTTTTCAAAGTATTTACATTTTCATAACATTTCAGCTATATATTTTACGGCATTATAAGCTGATTCTCAACAGATGAAAGCACTCATTAACGTCAGTATTTTAAATAATTAATCCTTAATGACAGGAGCGTGTATTTGTGACTTGGGGCAACTGTCCGAGGCTGTTAATGTAGCGAGACATTTTTTTCTTTTTTTCTCAGGGGATATATTTAATCTAAGGATTATTGAGATTATTTCCTTGTCGATATTCCCTCACCTCAAGGAATTTCCCTATGTCAGTTATCCCCCTGTATATTAACCTAAGCCTGAAACTCTACAGCTGGACATTAACCCCTGATTAGGGTTAGGAGTTGTTCTGCATTTTTCTTTGTTATCATGTTTTGTATTCTGTAGAATGCCTAGCTAAATAGCAAAGGACGATTTATTTGAGTTGGTCAAACTATTTCGGACACTCTATAGAATACCGGCCCTCTTGCGGTTTTGATAACAATGAAATAATTATCATTAAAAAAAATTTAAAAACCCACGTTTTCTGATTGAACTAAAAAGTAGAGAGTACCGAACCTTGTTTTTATCAAATTACAATTACTATGTTATGTCCCTTTTTTGTACAAATCAATAGGAGTCTAAAATGATCAATACAATTTTTCCATGGATCAATTTAGTAATAATAATAATTTAGTATTGTATTGTCATCGGAAACAAAGCTTCCCTGAAAATTTCAGCGCGCTAGCTAACTGGGAAGTGCCCGAAATTTTGATCGCAAGATTTGATGGAAAGACAAACAGACGCGAAAGCAAGTTAAAGAAAACGTGGGAAATAAGTAATATCACGGGAATGGGTGAGTTTGGTTGGTTAATTAACAGGGGTAATATGTTGTAGCGAGTAGGTGTAAGACATTTGACATACAGAGTTCTTTTAGCATCTTAACGAGACCAATTTAGTAACAATACTGATGGGCGAGGGGCTGGGGGTGGGTGTTGGGGGCAGGGGAGTGGGTGGCTCCTTCTCGACAAAAACCCACCTAGGAGAAAACACTCAAAACAAAATCCAACAACTTCTGCCTTGTAGTTTGTTTTTGGTTGGACAAAGACTGTGGATGCAAGTCCAAAAAAGAAAAACAGGCTGAAATGGTGCCTAACATGTTGACACGCAATACTGGATTGTTTTGAGAAACTGCCGTCCAACATCACAATCAAGAGAGAAGAAATAACAGTGTATGTAGGATTTCTACTGCTGTCAGAAGGTATGCTTCCAAGCTCTCTTATAAAAATGCCACCCCCCCCCCTTTACCAATATAGTTTGATGTAGCTATGGCTACTTGTTTAAATTTTTTCTAGAAATATTAAAGAATAATATTATGCGCATATAAATAAACGAAATACATTCTAGACACGTATATTTTAGAAAGCTGACCTAGTATCCATGGTTTCTCTGTGATCGACTGTCTTTAGATCTTGGATACTCCACCCCCATCACGGGCTAAATACTAAAGCCTATAAGTTAGTTAGAAAATATATACTTTCATCAGTGTACCCCTACTCACCCCCCCCCCCCCCTCCACTCCAACCCCGGAAATTTTAAGTGCATCCATTCTACTGAAAGTTTTAAAGCTTTAAATTCAAGTAGGCCCACTCTCCTTATACTAACATTCATTTTGTCACTTTGTTGAAACGCAATAATTCTCCTTTAATTTCATTTGTTTATTCGAGTGCTTGTGGAAACCCGACCATAGAACTTGTCGCTGTGAGAAGTTAGGAATCTATGCATCAAGTCCCACATGACAAACTCACGATACATTTTCATTTAGAAGTAGACTATTTTAACAACAGGTTCATTAAATAAATGCGTATTTGATGGCGAAACATTATCCCCCCTACCCCCACCTCACTCTACAGTACTAAACGACATTCCGATAAGCTGACGCATGAAGCTTCTTGTGATCGCCATTGCGTTTTGATGTGTTGTTTACCTTCCCTTTATGTTTGTGTATGTTTTTCAACATGTTTTCTATTGATGTTTTACTTTGTTTTCTTCATATTGATCAAATTGTTGAAGGCTTCTTGCCTTATCCTCACTGTCATTCGTGGTCAGCTACTCTCCAAGATTCAGCTAAGTTTGGTCGAATTACAAGTTGGATCTACTGAGATTTGATTTACGTTGTGGCTAAATGTTCTTGGTAGTTGACGTTTTGTGTAAGGTTAGCTGACGTTTTGTGTTGGGTTAGCTGACGTTTTGTGTGGGTTAGCTGACGTTTTGTGTGGGTTAGCTGACGTTTTGTTTGGGTTAGCTGACGTTTTGTGTGGGTTAGCTGACGTTTTGTGTAAGGTTAGCTGACGTTTTGTTTGGGTTAGCTGACGTTTTGTGTGGGTTAGCTGACGTTTTGTGTGGGTTAGCTGACGTTTTGTGTGGGTTAGCTGACGTTTTGTGTAAGGTTAGCTGACGTTTTGTGTGGGTTAGCTGACGTTTTGTGTGGGTTTGCTGACGTTTTGTGTGGGTTAGCTGAAATTTTGTTTAGGGTTAGCTGACTTTTTGTGTAGGACTTTCGTTAGCTGACATTTTGTTTAAGGTTAGCTGACATTTTGTGTAGGACTTTGGTTAGCTGACATTTTGTGTAGGACTTTGGTTAGCTGACATTTTGTTTAGAATTAGCTGACATTTTGTGTAGGACTTTGGTTAGATGACATTTTGTTTAGGGTAAGCTGATAATTTGTGTAGGACTTTCGTTAGCTGACATTTTGTGTAGGACTTTGGTTAGCTGATAATTCGTGTAGGACTTTGGTTAGCTGACATTTTGTTTGGGTTAACTGACATTTTGTATAGGACTTTGGTTAGCTGACATTTGGTGTAGAACTTAAGTTAGTTGACATTTTGTGTAGGACTTATGTTAGTTGACATTTTGTGTAGGACTTGGGTTAGATGACATTTTGTATAGGACTTAAAATAGTTGACATTTTGTATAGGACTTGGGTTAGTTGACATTTTGTGTAGGACTTGGGTTAGCTGACATTTTGTATATGACTTAAGTTAGTTGACATTTTGTGTAGGACTTATGTTAGTTGACATTTTGTGTAGGACTTATGTTAGTTGACATTTTGTGTAGGACTTATGTTAGTTGACATTTTGTGTAGAACTTTGGTTAGCTGACATTTTGTTTTGATTTAGATGACACTTTGTGTAGTACTTTGGTTAGCTGACATTTTGTGTTGGGCTTGGGTTAGCTGACATTTTGTGTAGGACTTAGCTGACATTTTGTGTAGTACTTGGGTTAGCTGACATTTTGTGTAGGACTTAAGTTAGTTGACATTTTGTGTAGGACTTAGCTGACATTTTGTGTAGGACTTAGCTGACATTTTGTGTAGTACTTGCGTTAGCTGACATTTTGTGTTAAATATGGGTTGATATAGTTTCACGGTTAATATAGTTTCTCGCAAACGCTATTTTAACAAATCTCGACGTTTTAGATTTCATGAGTCGGAAAAATGTAGCTTTAAAATCTGGTCTGAATGTGCGTGTGTGTGTGTGTGTATGTGTGTGTGTGTGTGAACACGAGTATTGGTTTATGTCGGTACACACTGTGTACGTAGCAGTTGATCCAATAAGTAGGTTTTATTCAACTATTGAGCAATTTCCGGTAATAAATGCCTTTTGCTTTATTATCCTGTTTTTCAAAACTTTACCAACTATTTTTATTGATCGATTCGACCCCCACTGCTACATACACAGATACACGAAAGTCTAGGAGAACATTCTCCCCCTTCATTTACATTGGCATTGTGGCCTTATATTTATCTCAATAAACTTGTAGCGATTTGATAAACTAAGTGTTGGCTATATCACACTCTAACGGCTACAGGACATTACCCCCCTGGATATTTCCCCCCCGGACATTTCCCCCCCGTATTTACCCCCCGGTGCAATTACCCCCCTGTCAATTACCCCCCTGTCAATTACCCCCCCGGGGAATTACCCCCCTCCTCTCAAGTTAAAATCCTAACTCTAACTAGGATTTTATCCCTATACAGGGGCGTAGCGAGGGGGGGGGGCGGGGGCAGCGGACCGCACCGGGTGACACCATTAAGGGGGGTGACACCAAATCAAAAAATAGCAAAATATATAGAGAAAAACTCGAGGGGGGTGCAAATCGTAAGTTTGAGGGGGGGTGCAAATCGAAAACTTGAGGGGGGGGGGGTTCAAATCGAAAGTTTGAAAGTTTGTCCCTTGGAAGGGTCTCTATGTCTCTGGGGGGGGGGTGACACTATTAAGTGCCGCCCCTGGTGACACCCGACCTCGCTACGCCACTGTCCCTATATACTACTTTAATCCAAACTTTAAGAAAAATACCAAAACCTAAGCATCCACCTTAGCCTAAACCTTCACACAAAACCAAAACCAAAGCTAGACACAACCCTAACCCTAAAACTAGCTTTAACCCTAACCGTAACCCTAGCTCTAACTCTAACCCTAACCCTAGCCCTAATCTTAACCCTAACCCTAGCCCTAGCCCTAACCCTAACCCTAACCCTAACCTTAACCCTAACCCTAACCCTAACTCTAACCCTAACCCTAACATTAACCCTAACCCTAACCCTAGCCCTAAAACGTAACCCTAACCCTAACCCTAACTCTAACCCTGTCCGGGGGGGGGGGGGTAATGTCCTACTGGGCGGGGGGTAATTGACAGGGGGGTAATTGACAGGGGGGGTAATTACTCTGGGGGGTAATGTCGGGGGGGAAATATCCGGGGGGTAATTGACAGGGGGGAAATGTCCTGTTCCCCACTCTAACACACTGACAGCAGAGATTGATATTTTCCTAGCTGCCTCAAACTAACATCGCATATATGTTTCGATTGGTACAGTCCAACACGTCTGTAAACATAGCTGCCCCTTTCCACATCGATAAAATAAACAAGCAGCGTGTGGTGGATCTTCTTTCATTTAACCTGGGTGACTTTTTGTGAAGACAAGATAGAAAATATTATTTTCTAATAGTTTAACTTAGGAAAAAAAAACTGGCTATTTTTCTTGATAGGGCAGTTTTAACAAGATGTTATACGCCGTGTTTGTATAAACCAAACTTTATATGCCGTGTAATTTGTATACTGAATAAAACTATGACAATCTGATACACTCAAGTTTATTTGTTTCTAGAGAAATCAAACAATGCAGACGATAACTAAAGCTTTACGGAAAATCGTCCTGTTCTGTTGTTTCGTCTGTTTCGGTGTCGGACTCGGCCTCTACTTCCAGGCGGTCCGCGATCATTTCGATACGGTCAGTGCCCCGGTCGGGTCAAAGGTGAGAGTGGATGAGTTGGTGTATAGGACAGAACAGGAGAAACACACTCTGGACAGTAACGATAACTCGAACCTTGTACAGAGGAAAGACACGATAGACAACTCGGGAGCTATAAGTAAGTCGGTTTATTAATAGATGATGATTCTGTAACTACTGTAAGCTTTTGTTTGGTTCATATACACATATAAAAATCACATATAATAATTAGCTTTAAAAACTCAAAAATAAATAATGAAAACTATGGGTCACATCACATAATACTTACACCCATTAACACATGAATTAAACGCGTCATAAACACGTCACACATACACACAGGATATTGTTGATGTCACATTCATACTATCGCCACACACTACTCACCACATACGACACTCCACACATACCACACACCACACCCCACACATCCTTTATAAGTCATATCACGTCCAGCTACTCACAACCACTGACATGCTATGAATGTACCACAACATCAAGCAGAAATTTTCTCATAGAGCTTTGTGAAGAAGTAAATTGCATATGATAACATTTTGTTATCATATGTCTAAGATAACGACATACTCTAATATGGTTCTTTTATTACCAGAATAAAACACAGGATAATTTCCGACAGATTACCTAAATAAGTACACTGGTGTAATTTTCTAACAGAATACCCGAATAAGTAAACTGGTGTAATTTTCTAACAGAACACCAGAATAAGTAAACTGGTGTTATTTTCTAACAGAATACCTGAATAAGTAAACTGGTGTAATTTTCTAACAGAACACCAGAATAAGTAAACTGGTGTTATTTTCTAACAGAATACCTGAATAAGTAAACCGGTGTAATTTTCTAACAAAATACCTGAATAAGTAAACGGGTGTAATTTTCTAACAGAATACCTGAATAAGTACAAGGAACTGTTTGGAAACACAACTGTGGATGTGACCCAAGCTGACCCAAACAATCCGGACACAATCAAAACATGGTGGCAGGGAGCAGCCATGATTGATTGGTATTTGTTGATTGTGTGTGGTGTAGTAGGTAGAGGCATGATTGAGTGGTGTAGTAGGTAGAGCCATGATTGAGTGGTGTAGTAGGTAGAGCCATGATTGAGTGGTATTTGAAGATTGTGTGTCGTGTAGCAGGTAGAGCCATGATTGAGTGGTATTTGAAAGTTGTGTGTGGTGTAGTAGGTAGAGCCATGATTGATTGGTATTTAAAGATTGTGTGGTGTAGTAGGTAGAGCCATGATTGATTGGTATTTAAAGATTGTGTGTGGTGTAGTAGGTAGAGCCATGATTGATTGTGTTTGAAGATTATGTGGTGTAGTAGGTAGAGCCATGATTGAGTGGTATTTGAAGAATTTTTTGTCTACTTTACACCGATAAACTGTGGGCTTAGCACAGGTGAATAAATAAATGGACGTCTATCTAACAGGTACATTCACTCACCTTTACGCTACACATGTAAACAACGTGTCGCCTATGGCAACTGGGGCGTGTGTCAGGACGTGCCATACAGTGTCAACCGCTCCTGTCTAGTTTACTCGTTTGGGTGAGTTAGACGTCAAGTTTAGGGGAGTTTTAGATGGACGTCAAGATTAGGGTAGTGTTAGGTGGACGTCAAGTTTAGGGGAGTTTTAGAAGGACGTCAAGTTTAGGGGAGTTTTAGAAGGACGTCAAGATTAGGGTAGTGTTAGGTGGACGTCAAGTTTAGGGGAGTTTTAGAAGGACGTCAAGTTTAGGGGAGTTTTAGAAGGACGTCAAGATTAGGGTAGTGTTAGGTGGACGTCAAGTTTAGGGGAGTTTTAGACGGACGTCAAGATTAGGGCAGATTCAGACGGACGTCAAATTTTTAGCAATAATTGTCAATTGTCATGCAAAATATAACTCTTAGTTGTCTACCATGTCACACTAACTGTGTCAGTTGTCTGTCATGCTACACTAACTGTGTCAGTTGTCTGTCATGCTACACTAACTGTGTCAGTTGTCTATCATGTCGCACTAACAGTGTCAGTTGTCTGTCATGTCACACTAACAGTGTCAGCTGTCTGTCATGTCACACTAACAATGTCAGTTGTCATGTAACACTAACTGTGTCAGTTGTCTGTCATGTTTTACCAAACTTTGCCGCAGCATCAACAACGATTTCTCCTTCGATGACGCGATGGTTGACCAGGGATGTGAGGTCCATTCATTTGACCCCAGGTTAGTTGCTCTACTCAATCATGTGTTCATTTGACCCCAGGTTAGTTGTTCTACTCCATCTTGTGTTCATGTATTTTTGTAACCATGTAGCTGTTCCTATAGCAATTTAGTGTTTTGTATTCAAGATATATATATATATATATATATATATATATATATATATATATATATATATATATATATATATATATATATATATATATATATATATATATATATATATACGATGTTTTGTCATAGATTGATAACAAACAGTAATGTTGATTATCAGAGATTAGACACCCTTAGAATTGAAAAAAAAATTGTTATCTATCAACAATTTCAAATTAGTATTTATTTTATTTGAGCTCTTCTTTTACAACTTATTTTTAAAACAAAGATTCCAGACGCAATAGCTAATGTAAGAACCACTGTAGGATTTAACACAATCCTTTTGTCACCATATTTTTCTAAAGTGTAGATCTAAAACTAGCATGTGTAGCTTACGACTTAGTGTAGAAATGTTAGGTCTCCTGGTCGTCCGGTCAACACCATCTCTAATCTCTGTTGTCCAGTATGAACCAGTCTGACCACAAACGTGGCCGGAACAACACCTTCCACAACCTGGGCCTCAGCAACACCAACACCGACGCCTTCCTCCCCAGACGCGACGGCTACGTGCAGGACAACCAGGTGTGGAGGATCAGGACATTGAAGGCTATCAAACAAATGCTAGGACACGATCAGGTACACGGAAATATGACTGGGGCATGATCAGGTACACGGAAATATGACTGGGGCATGATCCGGTACACGGAAAGTTGACTGGGGTATGATCAGGTACACGGAAATATGACTCAGATACGATTCGGTACACGGAAATTTGACTCAGACACGATTCGGTACACGGAAATTTGACTCGGACACGATTCGGTACACGGAAATATATATATATATATATATATATATATATATATATATATACTGAGATCACCTGTCCATGATATCATTTGTCCTGATATATTTTGTCCTGGTATCTTTTGTCCGTGAGATCATTTGTCCTTGAGATCATTTGTCCTGAGATCATTTGTCCTGAGATCATTTGTCCGTGAGATATTTTGTCTGAGATATTTTGTCTGAGATCATTTGTCCTGAGATCATTTGTCATGGAACCATATATATATATATATATATATATATATATATATATATATATATATATATATATATATATATATATATATATATATATATATATATATATACATATATTGTATTGTTAAGTCGGGAACAGAATATTTCCAGTTAATGACATACACGTCCATATGCCTTTCTACTTGTATGTTTTCTCCAACTAGCGCGTGATAGACGTTCTAAAAATAGACGTGGAGGGCCATGAATGGACTGTCATAGACAACCTGATAGAGACGGATATGTTCCGATACGTGCGACAGTTCCTCTTGGAGTTTCACCTGTTTTCAGACTGGCCACTCAAACAGGACTATGTCAACCTGTATAAGGTGAGTCGCTCACCTTTGTTACAATACTATTTGCACCTGTATCTGGTAAGTCGCTAACCTTTGTTACAATACTATTTGCACCTGTATCTAGTAAGTCGCTAACCTTTGTTACAATACGATTTCCACCTGTATACGGTATGTCACCCAGCTTGTTATAACACTATTTGCACCTGTTAAAGGTAAGTCACCCACCTTTGTTACAATACTATTTACACCTGTATACGGTAAGTCTCTCACCATGTTATAATACTATTTGCACCTGTATACGGTAAGTCACCCACCTTGTTACAACACTATTTGCACTTGTTAAATGTAAGTCGCTCACCTTTGTTACAATACTATTTACACCTGTATACGGTAAGTCTCTCACCTTGTTATAATACTATTTGCATCTGTATACGGTAAGTCGCTCACCTTTGTTACAATACTATTTACACCTGTATACGGTAAGTCGCTCACCTTTGTTACAATACCATTTGCACCTGTTAAAGGTAAGTCTCGTTCCTTGTTACAATACTATTTGCACCTGTTAAAGGTAAGTCTCCTACCTTGTTACAATACTATTTGCACCTGTTAAAGGTAAGTCGCCCACCTTTGTTACAATACTATTTGCACCTGTTAAAAGTAAGTCGCTCACCTTAGTTACAATACTATTTGCACCTGTTAAAGGTAAGTCGCTCACCTTTGTTACAATACGATTTGCACCTGTATAAGGTGAGTCGCTCACCTTTATTACAATACTATTTGCACCTGTATAAGGTGAGTCGCTCACCTTTGTTACAATACGATTTGCACCTGTATAAGGTGAGTCGCTCACCTTTGTTACAATACGATTTGCACCTGTATAAGGTGAGTTGCTCACCTTTGTTACAATACCATTTGCACCTGTATAAGGTGAGTCGCTCACCTTTGTTACAATACCATTTGCACCTGTATAAGGTGAGTCGCTCACCTTTGTTACAATACCATTTGCACCTGTATAAGGTGAGTCGCTCACCTTTGTTACAATACTATTTGCACCTGTATAAGGTGAGTCGCTCACCTTTGTTGCAATACTATTTGCACCTGTATAAGGTGAGTCGCTCACCTTTGTTACAATACTATTTGCACCTGTATAAGGTAAGTCGCTCACCTTTGTTACAATACTATTTGCACCTGTATAAGGTGAGTCGCTCACCTCTATTACAATACGATTTGCACCTGTATAAGGTAAGTCTCCCACCTTGTTATAATAATATTTGCACCAGTATGCGGTGAGCATTGCCCCGATCAGCTTTTGATTAGTTCATTATTACCGTCTTTGATTTAGAACGTAGCTAAGTTAAGCAAATTATGACATGAATTTTCCACTGATAAGCATACGATTAGAACCCCCCCCCCCAATTTTCCACTGATAAGCATACGATTAGACACCCCACCTCCCAATTTTCCACTGATAAGTACACAATTAGACCCCCCCCCCCCCCTTCTTCCTAACAAACGCTTTTGGTACGCACACAAACAGCTGTCGCCTCTAATAAAAGCTGATGAAAATCAATATGTATTGTTTTGAAAATAATATCCAATGTTTAAGTTTTATCTCTGTTTTTTTCCATGATGCGAAAATAGACAAACGTTCGCTAGACGTTTTAAATAATAGATATGTATGTACAAACTACATCATGTGTTGGTATCGCAAAGTGAAATAACTATCTCTAGAATATTTATTTATCGCCCCCTATCACCGTGTTCCAGATCTATACAAGACTGAGAGAGATGGGATTCCGCGAGTTTTCTGTCGGGCCACACCCCAAGACTCTAACACTCGACCACTTCAACAACCAAGGGGACTCGGAGTTTGTTAATGTTTTTTTTACACAACCATAGCTACATCATCATTCAGACTCATTTGTAATCATATTTGTAATTAGACATGTATGTTCATTGTTCATACCAATAACTACATTATTTTTAAAAATTGTTACCTTCGTTGTATTCCGGTAGTTTTTATATGTAGGCCTATCTATAAATAATTACATATATATATATATATATATATATATATATATATATATATATATATATATATATATACATATATATATATATATACTGAGAGAGAGAGAGAGAGAGTGAGAGAGAGAGAGAGAGAGACAGGGAGATAGTGTAAAGGAGAGATAACAATAACACCGCTTTTTTCAATTTAATGATCGGTTGTCTTGAAATACAAACGCTCATGAAAGGCAGTTTTATGGGGCGATTATGTTTGTAAGAATCATAATTCTCTTTGTTTACATGCTAACGACACGATTAAAACTGGATGTTTTCTGATCGACTCACCACAGCTGTCTGTTTGTTTTCTTACATCAAAACGATTGTGGGCGTGATTTATATTTCTTAATCTGAGGGGTGGGGATGAATGTAAAGGTTGGGGTGGGGGAGGATGAAAGTTTATGTGTTTTCAATCTGCACCAAAGTGCGCGTGGACCGGTGGTATGTCCTGTTTATTGGGCAGCCAAGTAGGTCTACAATCATTTGGAAAATGTCTATTTTAAAGTTGATTTATTACAATCATTTGGAAAATGTCTATTTTAAAGTTGATTTATTACAATCATTTGGAAAATGTCTATTTTAAAGTTGATTTATTGCAATCATTTGGAAAATGTTTTTTTTAAAGTTGATTTATTGCAATCATTTGGAAAATGTTTATTTTAAAGTTAATTTATTACAATCATTTGGAAAATGTCTATTTTAAAGTTGATTTATTACAATCATTTGGAAAATGTCTATTTTAAAGTTGATTTATTACAATCATTTGGAAAATGTCTATTTTAAAGTTGATTTATTACAATCATTTGGAAAATGTCTATTTTAAAGTTGATTTATTACAATCATTTGGAAAATGTCTATTTAAAGTTGATTTATTGCAATCATTTGGAAAATGTCTATTTAAAGTTTAATTATTGCAGTAATTTGGAAAATGTCTATTTAAAGTTTAATTATCGCAATCATTTGGAAATGTTTATTTAAAGTTTAATTATTGCGGTCATTTGGAAAATGTCTATTTAAAGTTGATTTATTGTAATCATTTGGAAAATGTCTGAAGTTGATTTATTGCAATCACTTATGAAATGTCTATTTTAAAGTTGATTTATTGCAATCATTTGGAAAATGTCTATTTTAAAGTTGATTTATTGCAATCTTTTGGAAAATGACTAAAGTTGATTTATTGCAATCACTAGGGAAATGTCTATTGTACAGTTCAGTTATTGTCAGAAGTAAAGCCCAAGACCAAGTCTTCATAGGGTTAACGACAATTATCTTTGTTCCCTTATAACGATATTTGTTCCCTAGAAACGGTCTTTGTTGCCTAACAACGACCTTTGTTGCCTAGCCACGATCTTTGTTCCTTAGCAACGATTGGGCTGGGGTAGTGAGTCTAACTACTTACATGATTGGGAATAGTATAGTTAAACTGCCTACATGATTCGGATGGGGTAAGGTAGTTTAACTACTTACACGTTTGGAATGGTGGTAGTGTAGTTTAACTACCTACATGATTGGGATGGTGGTAGTGTAGTCTAACTACCTCCATGATTGGGGTGGGGAAGGTGTAGTTTAACTACCTCCATGATTGGGGTGGGGGTAGTGGAGTTGTTGGGGTTGTTTAAGTAGCTACAAGGCGGCAATCAATGACGATATGTTCGGCAATCAATGACGATATTTTCGGTAACATGTGTAGAGTGGGAGAGAGCAGTGGAATACATTAAAACAGAGTAGACGTTCTGCCTCAGTGAATTCAGATCAGGATGTATTGGTGCAGTTTCGCAAGCTTTTGTTTTCGTGTTTTTCAAGCTTGACTGATTCTAATGGATCGATTTCCTCTTTTAATCTGTGTTGATAAAGCCGTTATACTATTGTTTTGTTTGAATAAAGAAACATCAGCAGCATCCAGAAGATCCGTCGTCAGGAGAACTTGATGCCACCATGATGGGTAGAGACTCGTGATGGGTCACGTGGGTTTGGTCATAGTGTCGGTAGTTAGTCATGCCACTTCAGTTGTGTGAACGACAGGTGGGTTTTTAAGACAAGCGACTAACTAGAAGACGTTTCAGCAATGGGACTGACTGAAGTCACTTCAGACAGGTGACTGACAGAAGTCACTTCAGATATGTGACTGACAAAAGTCACGTGACTGACAGAAGTCACTTTAGACATGTGACAGACAGAAATCACTTCAGACATGCGACTGACAGAAGTCACTTAAGATGTGACTGACAGAAGTCACTAAAGACAGGTGACTGACAGAAGTCACTAAAGACAGGTGACTGACAGAAGTCACTTCAGACAGGTGACTGACAGAAGTCACTTCAGACAGGTGACTGACAGAAGTCACTTCAGACAGGTGACTGACAGAAGTCACTAAAGACAGGTGACTGACAGAAGTCACTAAAGACAGGTGACTGACAGAAGTCACTTTAGACATGTGACTGACAGAAGTCACTTAAGATATGTGAACGATCAATGAGCAATAGCTTATGTCGGTAATGACTAGATTATACCGGAGAGAGAAAGGACATCAAAGTAGTCAGAGAACATTTGGTGAATTCAGTCATTGATAATTATTCACTTGTTGAATGTCAGTTTGTTAAATATTCACATGGTGAATATCAGTTTGGTAAATATTGGCTGTTGAAATTCAGCTAGCTAAATATTCAGCTGTTGGATGTCAGGTAAAATATTTGTTGGATATCTTGGCCGTTGAATTGTACCAGCTATATGTTTGCCTAACAAACCGATCAATGCCGATAAGGTTGATAGTATTTCGATCACCCCCACAGGTGAACAGCCGGCCTACGTGTACACGTCTAGTGTGTTCTGTACACCTTTGTTTTAAATCAGTACTTGTTTGCCTAGTCTCAGTGTCGATATATTCTCCATGTAGTTTTTCAAACTATTTAGAAACTAGCTTAGCTTTTAGAGTATGTATAACAGCAACACTCGCACAATTATTTTTTCATGGCAAATTTAGCCTGTGCTCTTGTTTAATGTTTAGTTTTAAAATTTTTGTCTCACATTTTAAAACTTTATTTAAATACTCAAAAGAAAAGCGAAACATCTATCTGATAAATCTGAAATATATATCTGATATATCTAAAATATATGACTGATACATCTGATGTATTTATCTGATACATCTCAAATATCTATCTAATACATCTGAAGTGTCTGGTATATCTGAAATATATATCTGATATTTCTCAAATGTATAATGTCTGATACATTAGACATATCTTTGTGATATATCTAAAATATCTATATGATATATCTGTCTGGTATATCTGAAATATCTATTTGATGTTGGACTTGAAGAAATCACTAACACAGTTGTCAGACGGTTTATTGAATGTTCTATCGTAATGAAAGGGAAATAACTCTGTTTAAAGCTTGCGACTTTCTGGCGTCCACGAGTTGTGCCGCTTGTCACTGCGATACGTACACTCAGTATTCACATCTCAATTCTAACAAAAATACCACAGTGTGTTGGTAAATAAGACATGTAAAAATGACGTTCACACGAACACCGAAGACGCGTCAAGTGCGATGTTAGACACTCTCTTCCACGCTCTCTAACTCTAATATAGTAAAAAATCCGTTTTGTTATCAAACTTGTTTTTTTTTAGTACAAAGACAGTTTAGTTATTAAACTTGTTTTTTAAAGTACAAAAACAGTTTAGTTATTAAACTTGTTTTTTTAGTACAAAAACAGTTTAGTTATTAAACTTGTTTTTTTTAGTACAAAAACAGTTTAGTTATTAAACTTGTTTTTTAAAGTACAAAAACAGTTTAGTTATTAAACTTGTTTTTTTAGTACAAAAACAGTTTAGTTATTAAACTTAAGAGTTGGCTGTAGAATAAACAAACATCTGCAACACTATCCTTTAGGAAGAAAACGTAAATGACGTATACGTTTTTACTGCTAATTAAAATAAATAGCAAAATACGTGCCATAATATAAGTAAATATCAAACTTAATTAATTAAATAATGTGGACATAGTTTAAGTATATTCAATAAAGTAGAGACAAAGATAAAATAAACTTAAAAAAGTAGAGATACAAATTAAGTAAGCTAAATAAAGTAGACAAAGATTGAATTCATTCAATAAAGTAGATAGTTTAAATGCATTCAATAATGAGTTGAAATAAATAAAATAAAATAGACACAGTTTGAATAAATTAATAAGTTTGTGATTTCCGGTTATGCTGAGATATCATCATCGTTAATCTTGATGCCTAAACTTTATGCTGATATCCAATTTTTTAATGTAAATTGCTAAACTTTGTAAACTTCAATTTCCTTAGCCTTTATCTTGATATTTAAAGTTGTCTAAGCCCTTACTTCTATAAACAATTAAAGTTCAATGTTTCCCTTAGACTGGCCTTACTTCACGATTAATGTTGAATGTTTCCCTCAGAGTCTAGCCTTACTTCACGATTAAAGTTGAATGTCCCTTACACCCTGGCCTTACCTCTCTATATGGTTCACCCCCACAGAGCTACAGCCACAGTCAAAGTCCCCCAGGTGAGCACTGTGGTTGTGGCCGTGACCGAACCAGTAGCCGTAGCCACACAGCGGCTGGCCCAGCAGGTAGACAGGTGAGTTGTGGCCGTGACCGAACCAGTAGCCGTAGCCACACAGCGGCTGGCCCAGCAGGTAGACAGGTCAGTTGTGGCCGTGACCGAACCAGTAGCCGTAGCCACACAGCGGCTGGCCCAGCACGTAGACAGGTGAGTTGTGGCCGTGACCGAACCAGTAGCCGTAGCCACACAGCGGCTGGCCCAGCAGGTAGACAGGTGAGTTGTGGCCGTGACCGAACCAGTAGCCGTAGCCACACAGCGGCTGGCCCAGCAGGTAGACAGGTGAGTTGTGGCCATGACCGAACCAGTAGCCGTAGCCACACAACGGCTGGCCCAGCAGGTAGACAGGTGAGTTGTGGCCGTGA